ACAGAGGGATGTGAGACAGTGGACAGAGGGATGGTGAGACAGTGGACAGAGGGATGTGAGACAGTGGACAGAGGGATGGTGAGACAGTGGACAGAGGGATGTGAGACAGTGGACAGAGGGATGTGAGACAGTGGACAGACAGAGGCCCCGCCCTGTTTAATCTGATGGAAGGTGTTACCATGGTAACATGTAGGACACGTACAGAACGTTACATCCTGCAGAGACAGAACCAGTAAAACCCTGAGACTTCCTCTGAACCACAGGACCGGACACTGATGGAGCCAGCTGGGCTGACTGGCAGCCATCTTGTAAAGAGCTACGAGCTCTGTCCTGAGTATCACTCCATTGGGTTGTGCAAACTTTAGCTTATGCTTTGCTTATTTTAGCTTTCATCTACTGCTTAGCTGATTTTAGATTTTCAGTACTGTTTTTTTTTTCAATTAAATTTTAGCTACAGTTTTGCCTGTCTTAATTTAACAGGTAGTTCATTKAGGCTGTTGCTGGTTCAGCCAGTCGTAGTTTTCAGCTTCTGTTCTGTGGGATTTAGCTCATACCTGTTGCAGGTCCTAGTTTTTTGCTACTAAGTTTKCTAATTTTATCCTGTTTCTGTTTTTGCTTACTTTAGCTTTCATCTTCTATTTAGCTGATTTTAGATTTTAGCTTCTCCTTGACTTAGCTTTTAGCAGGTAATTTTGCTATGTAAATAGCTRCTTCTTTGCTTGTTTTGTGTTTTTACAGTTGTTTTCTAGTTGTACTTTTAGTGACTGTTGTTTCTCATTTTGGCAGATACTGTAGCTCCTGTTTCGATAATTTTAGATTTTAGCCACTGTTAGCTAATTTTAGGTTTTAACTGCTGCTTTTTCGGATTTAGCTTTTCATTACTGTGTTCACAAGTTTAAATATTAGCTGCTGTATTGCTTATATTAGCTTTTAGCTGCTGTTTTTTTGAATAAGTTTAAAGTTTGAAACTTTTAAACATTTAACATGTCTAATTGTCCCTGGTTGTCCCCCTCTGTCCTCAGGAGGACATGCTGGAAACCGTCTGTCTGAATGTGTCTCCTGTGCGTGTCAAAGACATGTTATCTAACATATCGGCTCATATTTGTGTTATTTAGCTGCTGTTAGACGTCCTGCAGCCGAACAACAATAATCTGTGTGTTTGGACATTTATCAGGACGAGCAGCAGGACGATGGATTTCGTCCCTGTTGATCCGGTACAAACCGGTTCCTGCCGTGCATCWAGTGGAACACGTGTCTACCTGAAGCCCGAGCCGGTCTTTGAAGCCGGTCTTTGTCGTTCCTCGCCTGCTCTTCAGAGATAAATCCTGGGCTTTGTGAGCCCAGCAGGTGGAAGAACTCCATCAGTCCATCAGACTGACTCACCTGTGTGTGAGGGGGAGGGGCTTGTGAAAAGCTCAGTGTSTACAATAGAAGATATTATGTTTCTCCTTCGGCTGATGTTGAGTCTGTTTACCAGCTGAAGAATCCATGTGTTCTTTGTTGTSCTGCATTCAGTCTATTTACATTCAGAACTCATCACTCTGGTTCTGCTCAAACAGGGCCGGTTCTGTCTGCTACTCTCTGGTACATTCTGGTGTTCTTTGGTACCTCTCTTAAACCTGCCAGTACCAGAAAGTACCAGTGGACTCTTTTAGACCTCAGGCTGGACCTCAGATCTCACTGATGAAGTGTTTTTCCTCASTTACTATTAAAGGTCAAAGTTAAACCACAGTGAATAAATCCTGATGACTAAGAGAAGAGCTACAGTGTAAATGTTTGACAAATCAGAGGTGATTAATCTCAGACTGCAAGGGAAGCTCAGCTTCCCCTRAAATATCAAAAATAARTGATCAAATAYACACTGTTGTGTGTTCATGTCATTGACTAAATATGWGCTATAACAAGCTCAACYTTTGTTCAGAATCAGCTTCTTATCACTGGTAACGACACAGCTTTCCTCTCCCTCATTCCTGCAACTTTACAGAGCTTTAAACAGTCGGACGCTGAGCGTCCACAGAGCTTTAAACAGTCGGACGCTGAGCTTCTACAGTGCTTTAAACAGTGAGCGTCCACAGAGCTTTAAACAGTCGGACGCTGAGCGTCCACAGAGCTTTAAACAGTCGGACGCTGAGCGTCCACAGTGCTTTAAACAGTGAGCGTCCAC